GAGCCAATAACAGAGCTGCAATCAGAGTTTCAAGGTTCAAGAATCAGAAAAGCCGATGCTATAAGTTCCATCCGAGTCTGAGTGTGAAGGAGGAGGAAGACTGTTGTCTCAGGCTGAAGAAAGCCAGGCTGAGTGAAATAATTTTTCTTATTCTGTTTTTACTTCTATCCAGGACCTCCACAGATTGAATGAAGCCCACCCACACTGGGGACAGTCATCTGCTTTACACAGTCTAATGATTCAAATGAGAATTTCATCCAGTAATGCTCTCATAGGCACACTCAGAAATAACGTCTAATGAACTATCTGGGCACCCTGTGGTTCAGTCAAGTTGGCACACAAAATCAACCATCATAAAAGGGAATGCTAATGTTGCCAGTCTGGGACAGCCCTTGGAGAACCATGAGCTCTTTACTGTCTTACAGAGTATCCTAGTAGGACTGAGCCTCAGTTGCCCTTGGGGTAACCTGCTCCACTAGATGATCTTTATCATTTTCCTTCTTTTCTTTTATTTTTTCTTCTTAATTAACAGAGGGCATGTGTGCTCTCCAGAGAGAAAGAGACACACACAGAGAGAGAAAGAACCCCTTCAATGGGCTGTGATCATGCTGTAATCCCTTCTCCTCTATATCTCCATCCTGCTGGGATTTGGGGCACATGTGCACATGTATATGCTTGGCATGTTACTCCACTGAGCTGGGGCTCAAATTGCGATCAGCCATGTGGGATCTGGTTCCCTCAACCACTGGGCTATGGGACTGGCCCCCTTCTTTTCATGTTCGTCCTTTACCCCTCCTCCTCCCACATTATTTCCTGGGATCAACTTCCAAAGGAATTACTTGATCTCAAAGTTGGGGAACCCAACCTCACGTTTCCCCACAGCACACTTGTGCCTGGAACCAATCCATCTATGATCATTACACATGAAATATCTATGAACAAGAGGGTACTTCTTGTCTTTGTGGCTATAAACATTTTTGGCTAGTCCTTTATGTTCATTCTTCAAATATACTTTTATTTTTTGATTGAAAGGGTCCCATTGGGCCATTAGAACTATGAACAAAATTATTATGTAAGGTAGTATTGATCTTTGGTTCTTTCTACTCTGAGTTGCCCCTTCTTGCCTACTCTTCTTTCCATTTTCTCCTTGTTTCACAGGGTATTCACATGGCTCCCTGCTTCCTCTGCTGCACAAGAAACAAAATAGGTAATGCTCCTTCACAGGAAAAAAATCATGTTTGCTTTCTCTCTCTCATACATTATAAACAATGATTAAAAATCAGGTACATTACTGAAAACTATAGTTTTAAAACTATTATTTCAAACCTTTATTGAAAACGATGAACCAGGTACATTAGATCGATAGAGGGATACCTAACATATAACACACAACCATGCCCTAGAGACAGGCAAGTTTAGTTCCAAACTTGTTTGCACATTGTCATCAGTGTGAGTTTAAAAAGTCTAGTTAATCTGTATGACCATCAATGGATGAATGGATATAGAAAATGGGGTATTTCCATATGATAGAATATCATTCTGTTTTTAAAAAGTCAGAAAAAGACAAGATGTAGAAACATCAATACACATTTAAAAGAAGGAGGTTGCAAACAGCTATAGAAGAACTCTTCTCAAATTCTTGGCTAGTCCTTAAGAGACTTCAAAGTTCTCCCCCCCAAAAGCAACAGCCGGGTCCTCTCTTCTTTGTTCCACTGCAGAACCCACAACCAGAAGTGCCCATCACTTGTATTTTGGCAGAGACTCACACACTGGTAGAGGTGTAGGTTCTTTTATTTTTTCTTCTTAATTAACAGAGGGCATGTGTGCTCTCCAGAGAGAAAGAGACACACACAGAGAGAGAAAGAACCCCTTCAATGGGCTGTGATCATGCTGTAATCCCTTCTCCTCTATATCTCCATCCTGCTGGGATTTGGGGCACATGTGCACATGTATATGCTTGGCATGTTACTCCACTGAGCTGGGGCTCAAATTGCGATCAGCCATGTGGGATCTGGTTCCCTCAACCACTGGGCTATGGGACTGGCCCCCTTCTTTTCATGTTCGTCCTTTACCCCTCCTCCTCCCACATTATTTCCTGGGATCAACTTCCAAAGGAATTACTTGATCTCAAAGTTGGGGAACCCAACCTCACGTTTCCCCACAGCACACTTGTGCCTGGAACCAATCCATCTATGATCATTACACATGAAATATCTATGAACAAGAGGGTACTTCTTGTCTTTGTGGCTATAAACATTTTTGGCTAGTCCTTTATGTTCATTCTTCAAATATACTTTTATTTTTTGATTGAAAGGGTCCCATTGGGCCATTAGAACTATGAACAAAATTATTATGTAAGGTAGTATTGATCTTTGGTTCTTTCTACTCTGAGTTGCCCCTTCTTGCCTACTCTTCTTTCCATTTTCTCCTTGTTTCACAGGGTATTCACATGGCTCCCTGCTTCCTCTGCTGCACAAGAAACAAAATAGGTAATGCTCCTTCACAGGAAAAAAATCATGTTTGCTTTCTCTCTCTCATACATTATAAACAATGATTAAAAATCAGGTACATTACTGAAAACTATAGTTTTAAAACTATTATTTCAAACCTTTATTGAAAACGATGAACCAGGTACATTAGATCGATAGAGGGATACCTAACATATAACACACAACCATGCCCTAGAGACAGGCAAGTTTAGTTCCAAACTTGTTTGCACATTGTCATCAGTGTGAGTTTAAAAAGTCTAGTTAATCTGTATGACCATCAATGGATGAATGGATATAGAAAATGGGGTATTTCCATATGATAGAATATCATTCTGTTTTTAAAAAGTCAGAAAAAGACAAGATGTAGAAACATCAATACACATTTAAAAGAAGGAGGTTGCAAACAGCTATAGAAGAACTCTTCTCAAATTCTTGGCTAGTCCTTAAGAGACTTCAAAGTTCTCCCCCCCAAAAGCAACAGCCGGGTCCTCTCTTCTTTGTTCCACTGCAGAACCCACAACCAGAAGTGCCCATCACTTGTATTTTGGCAGAGACTCACACACTGGTAGAGGTGTAGGCAAGCTCTGTAGTGAAGCAGAGGAGAAGCTGCAGGTGTGCCTGGATGGGAGGCTGTAGGCACAGGGAAATTGAATGTGGCTAACCAAAAGGGATGTACATGGTTGAGTGTGTCTTTCTCCAAATTTGCATGTTGTAATTGAATTGCCAGTGAGGTAGTATTAAGAGGTGGAACCTGTAGGAGGTGACTAAGTCATGAAGATAGAGCCCTCATGAAAGGATCTGAGCCCTCATAAAAGAGGTTGAAGGGGACTGCCCTGCCCTTTGTGAAGACAAAACAACTGAGCACCCTCTTTGAAGCAGAGAGCCCTTACCGGACACCAAATCTGCTGGCTCCTTACTCTTGGACTTCCCAGCCTCCAGAACTGTAAGAAAAAAATAATTTCTATTCTCTATAAGTAACACAGTCTAAGGTATTGTGTTGCATCAGTCTGAATGGATAAACTTGGGGCATGCCGTGTGCTTGGTTAGGATACATATTTGACTTTCTCTGGTCTTAAATTGGAAGCAGGGTCAAAAAATCAGGAAATAGGTCAGTTATTGGTCCAGTCTTGCCTTCCTGGTGGGTCTGACCTTCTGCAGGCATGACTTGTAAATAGCAGGCTGGCTTTCTGGGCTGGTTTCTGTAGATAAGGATTTGGCTTCCTGGACTGACTGCTGCAATTCCAGCCTTATTTATGGTTTGCTTATTATCTGTTTGTATAGTCAATCTCTCAGGCATTATTCTCCACAGCAAAGGCATCAGCAAAAGGGGAGTTAAGCTCGGGCAGTGGGACTTGGCTATTTATGAATGAGTTTGCTACCAAGCCCTTTTCAGGTTGCACGCATCTCTTCTTTGCTCTGCCACACAACCCACAACTAGAAGTGTCCAAGTGAATGAGGGGCATGCAAGACTCCACTGGCACAGAGAGAAATCTTAAAGTAGAAGAAAATCCTCAGGACTCCCCACAATACCCTTTAAGTACCAAGCTGCTTAGAATATCCCTCCTTTTATTGTAATTTGATGTGTGAAATCCTGGCAGGCATTTACAATTCAGATCCCACTCCTAAGGGATTCCCATGTAGGGCCTGTTCGTATGATTTATTCTGAGCCTTTCTTCACTTATGGACGCTGGAGATCGTTAGGTAAAAGGCACATAGATGCTCAGAGATGAAGTGTTTATCATCATCGCCTCAATGAATCATTCGTCAGCCCTGACATGTTCTAATGTCCCCAGACTTCCCATTGCACCCCCTCCTGTTTCATCCCGTGGCCATCATGTTTCCCTTTCTTCTCTCCTCCAGCTCCCCCTCCCCACCATTATCTCAAAATTTCAGTGTATTCCCTTCATCAATCACTGGGATTTAGCGAGCAGCAGGGAAGGCGGGGGTGGTGGGACAAGCTGTAGAATCATTATCCAAATACCCCTGAACAACAACAGCAAAGAAAGGGGCCAGGCAGGAGAGTGGGGAGGAGAGCAGTGTGGAGACACCAACTCAGGCTCTTCTCAAGACACTGATGGTGTTTGGTGGATGCTCACATAGTGGGTGTGGTTCTTCACCAAAGGAGAAAGACCTCTGCTCCTCTGGCTGGACTTTATGCATTTCAGGCCCTGAAAGCATCACAAATCTGCTTTTGCAAACAGAGGGCCTCCAACAAAGGTGATGGAGAGTCGAGTTAGGAAACCTGACTCTGGCCTAGGGAGGCCAAGCTTTCTCATCGCTAGATCCAGAGAGTGTGATTTTAACCACTAACCCTGTGCTTTGGTTTTAGTTCTTTCAGTGGATTTACAGAATGACCTTGGGCAAGACCCTTGACTTTTCTGGGTTTCCCCTTCTCCTCTTAGTTTCTCCTTATCTGATCAGAGTACTTTCTTTTATGACCTTGCTATAAAAAATTTTTTGTAAAGTAAATGAAAGGAAAACATACTATCATGAATAGAACAGAACCGTTGCTAATCTTCTCATTTATTTTCCCCTTTCTTTAAAAGGATAGTTGCAAGCAGAGTGGATATTCAATTTTGTAGCTTTTTTTTTTATGCTAAGCTCTTTTTCTGTGTTGTTACATAATGTTTATAACCAAGATTTTTAATGGATTTTGAACAGCAAGATCAAGATGGATTTCTTAGTCTCTTACATTCTTCGGCCAAGAAAAGATGCAGAAGTTGTTAGATAGTGAAATTCACCGAGCTGTTCCTCTTGTTTGTTTTGGCCTTGTTGCTTATTCTTTAACATATTGTGTGATTTCTTTTTCTAAAAGAAGAAACAGACCCAGTGCCTTAGAGATAAAGTGCCCAAGACAAAAACAAAAACAAGCCCTAAACCAAAACTGATGAACTTGCTTTCTTTAAAGTTGGTCCGCCCATCTAAGGGAAACATTCAATTCTTCTACCTTTTGGAGTCATATCCCAAGGAGTAGTCCTTGAGCTTTGTTCCTGGAATTTCTTCCTCTGAATAGCAAGTCTCTTCAAAATCTGTAGGAAATCTCGCTGGGACACAGAGACAGAGACAACAGACCTATTTACAGTTTCCTAGGACCAGGACCTCCAGGTATCCAAACATGCTGTGAGACAGCCTGCAGAGCCCCACCTCTGGTATATAATGCGATTGGATGTGTGGCTTTTTCTGGCTCCCAGTTCCCTGGGTTTATTTGATTACCTCTTTCTAGTTCATAGAGAAAGCAGGTGATAGAAAGTGTCTGCCCCAGGAGTCAGGCAGTGACACGCCGGAAATGCAAATAGAACCCTATAGGAAGGTCCTGGGTTTGCACCCTGGGGCCTTCCTGGACACAGCAGGCACATGTGACTGAGATCTCATTTGCTGAGACTAGAGGTGGGTCAAGGTGTGAAGATCCTCTTGGGGGTGCCTGTCTCTCTCCCTTTCTGCCTTTCTTATGGGAAAAACAAATAAAAATTTAAAAACACCTGTTTATATATTTTATTTTTTATTTTTTGGAGAGGTTTCTGCTATAAGGTGTGTGTGCTTGCCAGAAAGACAGAGAGAGACAGAGAGACAGAAAGAGAGAAATCACCCCCGCTTCCCCCCAAGGCAGATCCCTTCTCTTCCATTCTCTCTCAGTATCTTGGGCATGCATGCATACACACCCGGGGAGAGTTTAAGCCACTGGGTCCAGGACTCAAACTGTGGTCTACCACATGGGAGTCCAGCAACATAGCCATTATGCCAAATGCTGGTCCTGACAATTTACATTTTGAAAAGTATCCTTACTGAGACAGCCTCTTTCTATCAGACTCCATACAAAGGTTTATATGCTTTGGGATGCTATTCCACGCATTATACAGAAATATCTATATAGGGGAAAGAAAACAGATCCTTTATTTTATTTACTTAAGAGCTCAGATGTCAATTTTAGAAAGGAATTTTTTTTTTAAGAGAGTTTATTCCTTTTTGGGAGTAAGTAAATTTATCACGATAGTTTCTCAACATTCACCCCCTTCCCTCTCATTTCTACCTTCCTGTGACAAGTCCAACTGCTGCTCCCTGGTATTTTTATTGCAATCCTATAACTAGAGGCCAGCCTCGCTTTGACTTTCAGCTCTCCTACCTAGCATTCCCACCATTTAAAGAAAAGATAAAAACATTCTGTGATAAGTAAAACCTGAAAGAATTTACCAACACCAGACTAGCTCTCAAAACAATACTGAAGGGAGTGTTATTCCAGGAATACTAAAGTCGGACACACAGCAATAAGAGTAAAAAAGCAAGCAAGAAAATGGCCAGCCTAATGGTAGGGTCAAGTCTAGAGTTGAATGGTCACTTCCGGAGTATAAATGGAAAGATCAGACCACAGTAACACCGCAAATGCAACAGAAGAGAGAATAATTACATGAGACTGAACTGGTGAAATAGAATTTTATGACTCTGACTAAAACATTACTGATTTTCTTTTATGCTTTTTTCCCCCAGACTTAAGGATTTTTGTCTTCTCTTGAACTGTAGATTGGTGCATCTACCTTCTTTTTCCTGACTTTAAGTCTTAAGTAAGTTTCTCTTAACATTTTTTGATTTTGATCTATTCAAACAAAACACATTTTTCTTGAAATTAAAAAATGCATTAAAAAAACACCTCGTTAATGACCACAGTAAGCTATATAGCCCCGGCTAGGTGCTACTCACTGAGGTTTATGCCTGAAGTCAGACATGTGTTCATAGATATGTATATATCAGCTGTTCTTGCTATTGAAAGTATTTAGATTAATCAAAGTCTTTAGTGAATCAATAAAATGTGAAAAAAAATTCCCACCATTTTATTTACTGCACCATATATGACTTTCACGTTGACCTACTTCATTTTCCTACTGCATGTTCTCATCATTTGTTGACTAGGTTTTTGGATTATCACAGCAGCCTAACCCACATGTTTCCATCCTTTCTTCTTACCTCACCATCACTCCATTTATTCTGGTCACCTGCACTGGGGTCATCTTTCTTACACATCCATCTGGCCATATTGCTTACCTACTCATAGGCAACACTGCTTCTTGGTAAAGTCCAGGACTCTTAGCATGACAGACATCCATTTGACAATCCATTTCCTCCTTCCTTTTCCAGCTTGATCCTCACTCCCCAGTCTAAAATCAAACAAGTCAAAATATCAATGGATGGGGACCAGCAGATGGTATTTTGGTTAAATCACTGGACTCCCACGTAGTTGACCATGGTTCAAGGCCCAGAGCCAGTGGCTTAAACTCACACTGGGCATGTACATATGTGCCCAAGATCCTGAGTGGAGAATGGAAGAGAAGGTATTGTGGTGTGGCCATTCCCCTGGTGATTTCTCTCTCTCCATCTTTCTGGCAAGTGCATGCACCTTAGAGCAAAAATATCTCTACAAAAAAAAAAAACCTGAAAAAAAAAAAAAAAAAAAAAAAAAAAAAAGGATGGGGTCCAGGATGCCATATTTTACAGCTCTCTGAGCCATTGTGATGAATGTAATGCATTGTTAATCATTTGGAAACAACTATCCCAGAAGGTCAATAGGATACCATTTTTTCCACTTTTCTGCCATGAAGTCTCCAGAAAGGGTGTAGCATAATGTGTTTTAGTTAGTAACTCCCCTCAAGTTAGATTCAAGATGGAATCCTGTTAAGGTTAATTCTTCATCAAAGACTTCATTTATGGTTAAGAGACAGAGTATTGATGTTGCCGTACTTAGGAGGGTTATATGTGGAAGCCTTCTTGTGCATTAACACAGCTGCATTACTCCCCGATAGAATACAGCAAAAATGGACAACACGGACTACCACAATTTAAAAATTGATTATCATGTACACTTTCATATTTTATAATTTGACTGTCAAACATGAGTTTTTAATAGAGAAGATGATTATTCTATATTAAGGGAAATATCAAATTGCAAAGTTGTTTTTGCAACAATCAGTCATGTAAAGTACATTTAGAAGAACACTTTAAAATATTAGTACTGGTTTTTTAGGTACCAAGATTACTGTTTGTTTGTTTGTTTTTTTTTAATTCTTATTTCTACTCCTAGTATTTCCAAATGCCTGAGTTAACAGGCAATTACTCTTGGAATAAGGAAAATATAAGATGACTTTTCTTACTGTCATTGTTGGGATTAAAACAGAGCCATGAACAAGATAGAGAATTAGGCAAAGGACGGGAGGGAGAGAAAGAAAGAAAGAGCGATGGGACCAGCAGTTAGCATGGCTATATCGCTAGACTCCCATGTAGCCGACCGCAGTTCAAGTCCCGGACCCAGTGGCTTAAACTCACTCCGGGCACATGTGCGTGTGTGCCCAAGATCCCGAGAGGAGAAAGGAGAAGGGAGGCGGTGTGGCCATCCCCTCTGGGGGGTGATTTCTCGCTTTCTATCTCTCTGTATCTCTCTGTCTTTCTGGCGAGCGCACACGCCCAATAAGAAAAAAACCTCTCCAAAAAAAAGAAAGAGCAAGCAAGAGGTAGGAATACAGAAAAAAAGTAAAAGACAGATGATGTGAGGGGAAAAAAAAAGTATTGCAAAAAGGTGGGAACTTGTTTTGTTTACATCCTGGGGACACGTTGTTTCGGGACTCCGTCTTTAAACCGGGGCTTCAGATCTAAGCAATTTTGTACTCCTCAAGAAGACACCATGTAAAGATGGTTCTTGGGGCCAGCAGGTAGCTCAGTGGAAAATGCAATGCTCCGTGCGGCAGTCCTACATGGGAAAGTTCCCAGTTTGTGCCTGGATGCCTCCCTGAGTATTCTGGTACCTGTGTGCCCCTGATTGACTGAGGCTGGAGGTGGACTGTAGTATTCAGAACACAGTTGGAGGTGATGTGTCTCTCTCTCTCTCTCTTTATCTCTGTCTCTCTGTGTCTCTGTTGCTCATGGAAGAGGTAAATAAATAAAGTTGAGTAAAAATAGACTGCCCTTGTAGAATCTACTGGTGTTTTATGATGACTTGTGGAAATAATGGCTTCTACTTTACTATCAGTATTGAAGATAGCACAGAACTCCTGGACATTAAAGTTATTTGCATAATGAAAAATGAGTCACAGATGGAAAAACGCTAAGGTTTTAGGAAAATATTTCCTTATACTATTCTTCCTGCCCCTCTCTATCAGCTGGAGTCTCTCGACTCAATGAAGGGGAGACAGAACCCTGACACGGAGGACCAGGGTGAGCCTTTGTCTGCAAGGTGAGTGGAGGGCTGGCCTGCAGAGTGGCTCTTGTAAGATTGTCAGATGGATTATGCCATGAATATGCAGAGGGCAGAAGGCAGGGAATGACTACCCAATCCATAATGACTGAATTACAATTTTAAAATGGAATGAGTTAGATAGTTATTATCAGTGTAATTATTCATAAATGTGCCTAATTATTCATAATTATTCAGAAGCATATTACTTCCCTGATTGCTATAAGTGATCTCAGAGGCCAATTACAATCGGAATCTGGTCACAGGACTCAGTGACTGTTACCCCTTCTGTCTTGCTGGGTCTAGGAGCTCTGTCTCAGGCCTGACAGCCTCAGGAACCCTTCGTGTCACCTGGCCCTTTAACTACACACAACAAACCCTTTGGTTGCTTTTAAACCCAGCTGACTTCAAAGCCCCCATTGTCATTTTACCCCCTTTCCGGTCCCAAGCTCCTCTTATTTGGGTTCAGGCTGTTCCTTCGAGGGTGTGCACGCTGGTGCTGTTTAATTAGGACTTTCTTGTTGTCATTCGGCATTTGATATCTTAATAGCGTTGGAGAGCACACACACGTGGGGAAGCAGGCGAGAAGGGAAGGATGCCCCCACCGGTAAAGGTTTCGTGGAGAAGCCAGAAGCTTTCATAGTCTTAGCCATTCTGAAGAGGACACACTGTTAAATCAGCTATTTGAGATTTCCCTAGGAATTTAGAGACCCTCGAGGGTGGGGGAATGCAGCCATACGTAACTCGCCTACCATGGGTCACAGCTGTCCTCTCTGGTACGCATTGTGCTTCTAAAGATCATTGCAAAATACTGTAGCCTAGGAGGGTATAGCTAGGTTTTCCAGGACAATCTCCCGCTCACCTCAGCGTGGCAGACGTCCGACGTGGCCTCTGCTTGCTCACCCGCTCTT